AGATAGATAGATAGATAGATAGATAGATAGATAGATAGATAGATAGATAGATAGATAGATGAATAAATAAAAAAATAAATAAATACAGGTTTAACAATGCTCCCCATTGAAAAAACCAGGCAGTGGTTGCCTATACCTTTAATCCCAGCACTTGGGAGGCAAAGACAGGCAGATCTCTGTGAGTTGGAGGCCAGCCTGGTCTACAGAGTGAGTTTCAGTCCAAGACTACAGAGAAACCCTATTTCAACAAACAGATAAATTTATTTTATTTTATTATTTGTGTGTATGGGTATTTTGCATGCATTTTTTCTGTGCACCACATACATGCAGTGCCACCCAAGGCCAGAAGAGGGCATCAGATCACCTGGAATTGAAGCTGTAGATGGTTGTGAACCACTGTTTGGGTGCTGGGAATCGAACCCAGGTCCTCTGTGAGAGTCACAAGTGCTCTAAACCACAGGTCTATCTTTCCTGCTCCTGATTGACAGCTTTTAAAAAATCCTATTTCTGTTTTCCATTGCGCCCACTGCTGAGTGCCGAGCCATAGCCTCCCCCCCTTGTTCCACTGGGACCACGGCAGCTGAGGTCTCCACAGACCTAAGGTCCCATGTCCTCAATTCTAAATACAAACAGCTTTGAGAATGACAGGGTTTTCTTAGCCATCCCCCACAGAACCTAGTGTAAAATGAATAAAAACCTGTGGACTCTGTCTCATCTATGGTGATTTTTAATTTTTATTTCTTTTTTCTGAGACAAAATCTCACTGTGTAACTGTGGCTGGCCTGGAACTCATGCTGGAGACTTACAGAGATCCACCTGCCTCTGCTTCATGAGTACTTGAGATTAACGGTGTAGGCCGCCGTTCCCAGCTCTCACAGTAGATGTTATGAGTGCATTGATTAGGTGCCCGGCCCACCGCTAGTGTGGTCCACAAACCCTCCGTGTGCACTGAGGTGCCTTTCTGGGACCACAAGGCAGTTCTGAGTTCACAAATGTCAAACCACGGCTCTAGACACATCCCAGCCAATATCATCCCCTCAGGCTGTCTGGGCCCTGGCAATGAGCTCACCTGAGGCGGTGGGTACCTAGGAACCTCTGGAAGGAAGCAGAGCCAGGGCTGAGGGTGAGGAAGGACACCCCAGTTCCCTAAAGGAAACTGTTATATCCAGTGTGAAAAGCAAAGGGAAGAATTAAACCCCAGGCTGACAAAGTCCTTGAGAGGCCTCCTCCTACCCCATCTCCCTGCCTCCAGGGGAACCATGGGCTCATTACTGTTTTAGGGAGAATTGTTGACCCATTAAGTTCCTTATATGGACCAGGTATTTAAGAATATAGACCCTTGTGCCCAGTCCAGACTCTGCTTCACCTGCTTGAAGAGGGGGAAGGAGGGAGGAAAGGAGGGAGGGAGAAAGGGAGAGGAGGGGTGGGGAAGGAGGGAGGTCTAGAATAGAGAAGGAGGGCTTGATCTAAATTATCTAAATAAACTTAGAGACAGACCGGGTTTCTCCACTCCCAGATCATACCCCACCCTGCTCTGTGGCAGAGAGACAGCTCCCTCCTGTCCCTATCCTTGTGATATTTGAGTCTTCCCACTTTCTGCCCACAGCATCCAGAAGATTCAGTGTTGCTTGGACAAGATGCGCTTTATCTACAAACAGTTCAAGAAATCTAGGATGAGGCCAGGTGAGCTTTGGGGAGAGCCAACTACCAGGAGCCCTCCCTCCTTTCTCCCTCCCATCCACCCAGCATGGTTGGAGGCTCGCTGAGTGTGTAACACTGCCGGGAGCCAGAGGATAGCTATCACAGGCAGGAGAGACCCTGCCTGCATGTTGCCTGTAGGCTACTGTGAGACATTATATCCCCATCACAAGAGGAGCTTTGTGTCGTGGATGCAGGGTACAGTGAGCAGGAGCTTGGGTAATGTGGGAAGGGGCCTGGAAAGGAATGCCTTACCTGACAGGGCACTTTAAGAAGTGTTCTCCTATCTACTGTGTCTTTCGCTTGATTTAGTTTTGGGGTGTGTGTGTGTGTGTGTGTGTGTGTGTGTGTGTGTGTGTTTGCGAACTCATCTTCTGCACACATGTGTCTTGTGTATGCACGAATGTATGTGTTTACCTACTGTGGAGGCCAGAGATTGATGCTAGGCTTCTTCTTCAATTGCTCTACACTTTATGTTTTGAGGCAGAGTCTCTTACTTGAAGCCAGAGCGCACCAGTTTGACTAACCAGCTTGCTCTGGGGGTCGCCTGTCTCTGCCTGCCTAGCACTGCAGTCACAGGTGGCCACCACGCCTGCCCAGCACTTCTGTGGGTCTGAGGATTAGAACTCCTGTTTCTACACTGTGAGGTAGCACTTTGCTCACTGAACCGTCTCCCAACCCCGCCCCTCTGTTGCTGAACCAAAAGACCAGCTTGTCTGCGAATGGGGCATCCAAAGAATTCCCATTAGAGTTCTGGATCGGGAGATTTCTTACACTAGCTTTGTAAATGCCCACAGAGACCTTCTGGGCAGGAGCAATGCTTCACATGCGTAGGAATGGAAACCTGCTTGTCTGAGTTGGGTGAGGGTGGAGTGGACAGGGTGAGGCTTGAACCTGGGGAGGGATGGGGATGGAGTTGGGGAGCCTGGGAATAAAAAGCCCCCATTAGCTAGGGAGTTAAGTTGCCAGAACTCACTCTCTGTCCCCACCCCATGCTCTAAATGTTTTCATGTCTACCTCGTTGCCTGATGCTTTTCGAGCCCCTGGGTAATTCATAAATCACTGTTAGAGAAACACACCGTCTAGCCATGTCACTTAAGTTTCTCGCAGCCAAATTAAAAAGAAAAAAACAGGTAAAGTTAATTTAATATATTTTATTCAATTCAATAAATCCTAGTCATTTCAGCATATGCTCAATTTGAACCAAACCACTAAGGAGACATTCTGTTCTCCTTGTCATGCAACATTTTCAAAATCCTAGGTACATTTTATATTTTCTATCTCTGTCTAGAAAATAAGTGTTCAGTAAACGTGATGAGTCTTAACAAAATTATAAAGCCATACTTAGCAGAAAAAAAGCATTTCATCCTGCTTCAATTTTAAATCTTACATTAATTGAGCACATTCAATTAAAAATCCAGAGCCAGGAGGTGGTGGTGCTCGCCTTTAATCCCAGCACCGGGGAGGCAGAGACAAGTGGATCTCTGTGAGTTCGAGGTCAGCCTGGTTTACAAAGTGAGTTCCAGAACTGGCTTCAAAGCTGCAGAGAAACCCTGTCTCATAAAACAAAAACAAACAAACAAAAAAATCCAGGTCTTCAGTCGCCATGGCCACATGTCAGGTGCTCTATAGCCACCTGTGTCTGACGGTCACCAATGAGAACTTGGGGATCTATGGAACATGGCCTTTCTCCTTTGGGGCCTTCACCTTCCTCTGGAGTCTGGCCTCAGAGGGGATGGGGAGGGCAAGCCTGCCTGTTCCTGGGGGCTCAGTCAAGGTCTTGTGCCCAGCCGGCCACTGCTGTGGTTTCAGGAGAGCCGGGAAGGCTGGTCTACCTCTATGTGTGGAACTCCATCATCCTGCCACCAAAGCTTGAAAGCACTGCCTTGGTGCTAGGCACCAGCCTAAGGGCTCCGTCAGTCTCTGAGTTATTTGGTGCTCTTGAAAACGCTAAGCATTGCATTGCCGAGTGTGGTGGTGCACACCTTTGACCTCAGCACTCGAAAGGATGAGTAGATCTCTGTGAGTTCCAGACCAGCCTGGTTTACGTCATGAGTTCGAGGCCAGCCAGGGGTGTGTAGAGAGCCCCTGTCTCAAAAACAAGCAAACAAACAAACAACAATCCTCTGTGCATCTCAACTTTCCTTGTTTTATAGTTTGGGAAACTGAGGCACAGAGAGCTAACTAGCTGGATTGTTCTAGGTCCAGCTTCTTTTAACACCCCACTGTAGAGCCTCAGGAGCTTCCATACCCATTGCTCTTCCAGAGTACTTTATTAAAACCAGGAGCAGCTGCCGGCACCTGGAGTGCCTCATGGTGCCGTTCTGGAAGGTTGCCTGACACTCACTCTTCCGGGCACTCTCTTGTGCTCTGCGTAGGCCTCGTGTGTGCACACAATGGACACACATCTAGCCTCCAAAGCCAAGTCCCCTGTACACAGCTGCCCGCTAGGAGAAGGAAGGGCTGGGATGTGCTCAAGTCCCCTGGCCTTTGGGTGTGCAGACCCAGGAAGGGGATCCCCCTGCTGGAGTGATGGGACAGGAACGCAGAAGGCAAACCAGCATCTTGGGGTTACCACTGCTCTGGAGACCCACCCCGGCAAAGCCCAGCAGGGGGCAGTCTTGCTTCAGTGTGTGAGTTTTCCTGGGTCTAGGCAAGGATGCTTCTACCCAAAGTTGTTCCTTCTGAAAAGAGTTGCTGGGCAGAACCAGAGAATTAGAAGGTGGTGGCCCACCTGTGAGTAACTCCGGGGACGGAGTCCAGCCGGAGAGGGTAATGGCTGCAGGGCCATGGCTGCCTCCATGAGGACCATTTCACCCAGCATCCACCTGCAGCATTTCCCAACTCCCCATGTGCATACACACACACACACACACACACACACACACACATACACACACACCGCCCACCTAGCATGTTTGCCTCCCTCTGGACCCCCAAAGTATTTCTCCTCAGCTCCTTTGTCCCTAAATCATAGACATTTGGTCACCATAATAGCGTTGTCATAGTTACTTGAGGTTCCATTTCCTCATCCCCTCCTGGCTCCCCTAGGCCTGAGATCCCATAAAATAGCCCCCACCCTAGGCTGTCCTCATCTTTCTAACTGACTTTGCTGACGAGTTGAGTGGTGACATCATCCCTGTCTGTTTCCTTCAGGACTCGGCTACAATGAGGAGCAGATCCACAAGCTGGATAAGTGAGTGGCCTGCTCCCTGGCAGGCAGGTGGGCAGAAGGGCAAAGGTCATGGGGTAGAGTGAGTCTTCTTCCCAGGTGGGATATACTGAAACGCTTTGACCCTTGGCCGTGGTGGGGCAAAGGGGATAACGATCCAAGTCAGGTTATATAGGGTCAGGGGTGGGACACTGAGCGGCTGAATCAGGGGCTTCTCACAATCAGCCTTGATGTAAGGGCTTTCCTCCCGTCATGAACAAGTTTGTAGGATTTTCTCTGAAACTATTCTCACTGGCCGACCTCTTCTCCCTCCCTGCTCTTGAGCGTGACCTGGGCCTGCCTGACTTCTCATCAGTACTGTTTCCTGGACACACACACCGTCCACCAGGCCTCCCTGCTCTGAGGGCTGTTTGGGGAATTTTCCCCCAGAGTTACACCGCCTCTAACTCCTGTGCACATTACACACACATACACTCAAGCGTGCGCGTGCGCACACACACACACACACACACACAAGCATGCATAAATGCACACACACATGCACACTCACTCATAAGCTTTCTATGGCTGGATATCTTTCCTTCTCCTAGGGGTCAAGTTGAGAGTGTATGCATTCATGCGCCACCGTATCAGCCTCCCTTGCCTCCTTATTGGAGCATGTAGCTTTATTGGCCTCTGGGCTTTACAGTCTGAGTGTATTGCTTTCCTTTCTTGTATTCTTCCCGAGAGGTGCCGCTGCTGCGGGCTGAGGGGCTGGTGTTTGGGTTGGGTAGTGGTGGAAAGGCTACATCTAAGTGTAGGTGGCTCCAGCCGCTCACCTTAGCTCATGGGGTCTCTGTCCTTCCAGGGTGAATTTTAGCCACTTAGCCAAGAGGCTGCTGCAGGTGTTCCAGGAGGAATGTGTGCAGAAGTATCAGGTGTCGCTGGTCACACACGCCAAGCGGATAAGGTAAACAGCCTGGCCTTTCCTCTGAGCTCATGGAGTCTGGGTTGGCCCTGCCCTTCCAGACTTCAGAGGACCCTGGGCTCTGCAGGGCCTGAGTAGGAACGGAGTTGGTGGGTGTTGAAGGAGCCCACTTGTTGGTTCCCGGCTGCTCAACAACTCAGCCCCGAAATAATCACTCAGAAACTGTATTAATTAAATCATTGCCTGGCCCATTAGCTCTAGCTTCTTATTGGCTAACTCTTACATTTTAATTTAACCCATCTCCATTAATCTGTGTATCGCCATGTGGCAGTGACTTACCAGCAAAGTTCTGGCATCTGTCTCCAGCAGGGCTACATGGCTTCTCTCCTCTGACTCTGCCTCCGTTCTCCCAGCAGTCAGTTTAGTTTTTCCTGCCTACCTAAGTTCTGCCCTATCAACAGGCCAGGGCAGTTTCTTTATCCACCAATGGTATTTGCAGCATACAGAGGGGACTCCCACATCAGGTGAGAAGTGAAAAGAGGAGTGGGTCAGGCAGTCTGCCGGGTAATTTCTACAAATGTACTATGGCTCCACAGTGTTTACACAGCAAATGTTACCACATCCTTCCAGATGAGGGGACCGAGGATCCAAGAACTGGTATCTTCTTAATATCACACAGCACAGACTGGGGACTAGAATGTGGGTATAGATGTCCCTAAAATCTGGGTTTTACCTGTCGTCCTCTCTGGTGTGATGGGCTCTCCTCTCTAGGGAGGAGGAGAAACAGGTAGACTTCAAGCAGGCAGGGAAGCAGGGTCAGGCTTCACCTACTAACGTACCCTCCCTCACACTATTCTGTAGCTAGAACCCCTTTCTCAAGCCCCCAAGCTCCCCTGCTGCACTTTCCTGGGGCCCCTGAAAAGAAAGGACAGTTTTCTGTGTGCTGTGTGGCCAGTGGCCTTGTCATGGGGCTGAGTTCCTCTTACCCCCACGTTAGAATACAACGCCTGGCAGCCCCCAACACACTGATGTGATGGGCTCAGGCGGGCCTTTGGTATTAGTTTAAAGGCTATTCCTGATGATCCTGGTGTGTATTCAGAACTGAGAACCAACTGTTGATTTAATGGACTTGGGACTTGATTTCCTCTGTGCAGTGGAGAAATGTCCCTCCATGCCCTCTGACTAGAGCCTAGGAGTCCCAAGTTTTGGCCTTCCTTTGTTATGGAAATGGAAGCATGCTAGCCAGTGTCTCATGCTTACCTGGCTCTATGCTTGCCATACCCACTTGAGTGACCCAGCTACATCGACATACAACTTGGGTGTTGTTACTGATCCCTGCCCCGGCTCTCCGGGGATTCTCTCAGTTCCCAGGAGCAACTGTGTGCAGCACAGTGGGTGGGAGATGAACGACATTCCCATAGAGGGAGGCTTAGGACCCCTGCTGAGCTGACACCAGCCCCGAGAGTCCCAGCTGTGGAGAGCGGGTCCCTGCTCTAACCTCCTCTACTTCTCTTAAGGCAGGTGCAGAAGGCCCAGAACCACCTTCACCTCCTAGGCCGCTCTGTGGCTGCCTGTAACACAGAAGCCCGGGAAGCCCAAGAGAGCCTGAGCAAGGTGTGTGTGCTTTGGGAGTACTAGGGGCTGCTGAGGGGAGGGGCATTTGCATCACTTCCTGCCAGGGGACAGAGCAGCCTTGACCAACTCAGGGATGCCCCTGAGGGTTGGAGGTCTCTGACCTCAATGCGCCCTGAGATGGGAAGATTCCTAGTGATTTCAGACTGACCATCACTGCGAGCCAGGGCTCCGGGTGCTAGGACAGCTTCCTCCGGGTTGGTGCAGCCTGGAGGTCCCGAAGGGTTGTGCAAGCTCGCCTTGGTGAGTCACTTTCTGCCAAGGCAGCTGGCTGGCTGGCCACCGAGAATACAGAACAGGCCCCTCTAGGAGCCAGTCACACGTGGCACCCAGCATGTGATGTGGGCAACCTCAGAGACCAGCCAGGATTGGCCTCTATCCCAAATCATGGCTCAGATTGTGTCATGAGGGGTTTAGGTTAGAGTCAAAGAGGAACTTGGCAGACTGAATCATTCGGTCCAGTACAGATGAGAGAAATCTATTCCACCAGTGGGGACTCTCCCAGGATGTGAAGGAGCGACATGTTGAAAAGACTGGAGAATTCCAGGGGCTCTCGGGAGACTGTGTGGGGGCAGATGTATTACCCTTCCTCGGCACATCCCTGCCCAGTCATACGTGGGCTGACAGGACCTTCCTGACTAATGCATAGCTTCCCTTCAGATTTTTGATCGGCTCCTTCTGGACGGAGCATCAGGAGCTCAGATCTCACCACACACCATGGCTCCTCATTCCAGCCCTGATCCAAAGGACCTGGTCTTCCAGTAAGTGCTGGGGAGCTGAGGGGAAGAGGTGCTGAGATTAACACCACGCTGCTCCATCTCATGCCCCAGGCCAGACTAAGAGGCTGCTCCTCTGTAAGCAGGCTCTGGGCCCAAGTGACCAAGCCTCAGCCACCCCATTCTTCTTCCTTGGACAGCATGCAGGAGCTTTGTAATGATATGAAGCTGTTGGCCTTTGATCTCCAGGACAACAACCGTCTCATCGAACGGTGAGCATCTCCCATGTCTGGGGAAGACTGTATCTTCCTTGCTGCCAGGGCACTGGGGGGCAGAGTCCCTGTGTACCCCATGCAGGATCCAAGGCACTTGCTAATTCTCTGAACAACCACATGGGTATAAGGCCTCAGCCACAAGTGGGGTGCCATCTTGAAGAGGTATAGGCTTTGAAGTACATCAGTACATCAGAGTGAGGCTTGGAGCCAAGTGGACATGTTTCTGGGGCAAGTTCTACACTGAATGTGGGCAATATTTACATGGTCTTCTTTACATGCCTAAGGAGCCTTCCAGGGGTCCTTAGAGTGGATGCCGCTATATCTCTCACGCTGAAACCACAGCACAGACAGACTGGCATTTTTGCCCAAAGTCTATGTCTCCTGCCCGATGAACTTCATCTTTCCCACCTGCTCTCACTGTGCCCAGGCTGCCTGGAGACACTGGCACAGCTCTAGAGCTCCCCCTCCTGGATGGGTGGGGACCAGCAGCAATGCTCAGGCTTTGGGAGTCCATACACCAGTACAAGTCACAAAAGCAAATGTGGGGGTGGACATACAGAGCAGGATTGCCAACTGTTCAGATAACTCAGGAACACATGTATGGAGCAGAAGGTCTGCTCTGGAGCAGTCCCATTTTAGAAAGCATTGTGTTTGTTTGTTTGTTTATTTGTTTGAGACAGGGCCTCTCTATGTAGTCCTGACTGTCCCGGAACTTGCTTGCCATGTAGGCCCAGTTGGCCTCAAACTCACAGAGATCTACTTGCCTCTGGCGTCTGAGTGCTACACCTGGCTTGTCATGGGCTTCTGAAACGTCAAAGCCCACCCCCCAGTGACACACCTCCTTCAACAAAGCCGTACTTCCTAATCCTCAGACAGTTCTGCCCACTGGGGACCAAGCATTCAAACCTATGCGCCTCGAGGGCCATTCTCATTCAGACTGCCACATCATGCTACTAGAATTGGGGACAGGCGGTGGGGCAACTGGGAGCAGAGCCTGTGGCTTGCCCTCAGAGGTTTGGAGGGTTCCTGGGTGGGGGAGGCATCCGCTTACAGTTCTGTCCCAGCTGGCGGAAACTCCATCCCCTCCACAGCTTCCATCCTCTTGAGCAGGAAGTTCTAATCTTTAGTACCGACATAAATCTTTCTTGGAGTGATTTATAGTCTATTTACAAATATCTCCCAACTGTGTTTTGGTGACTTTGCACTTCCTCATTTAGACTTGCAGCCAAAGAGCCCAGTGAGCAAATCTGAACCCCTTGCTGGCCTCCGTGTCTTCCCATCGGAGCAAGGGTGCTTCTGATAGTGCAGGAACCTAGGGATTGTTCCAGAGACCCTGAGCGAGGCCTGGACTAGGGGCCTTTTAAGCTATCCAGGTGATTCCAACATGCACAGATAAAATCCAGAAGGCAGTATCTGGGGACAGGGACACTGCCAGGGAAGAACTAAGGATCTGATGGCTAAGTGCTCCTGAACATTGATGGCCCTGTGCTATCATCTACCTGCGGGCTTCTTCAGCAGGTGGGCCAAGCTGACCTGTGCCTTTTCTTACAGGTTACATAGAGTTCCAGCCGCACCTGATGTCTGAGCTCCCTGGGGTGCACAAGACACTCGGAAGCATTAGCTTTATTCATACTGTACCTCTGCACTGTGAGACCAAATTCAGGGCAAGTTCCGGTCTCACCTCACCAGCCTACCTCCCTCTTGGCCACTGGCCAGCAAACTAGCATTACTTTGACAGCCTGTCCTCGCAGACAGCTGGGACAGGGCCTCCCAGCCATCCTGGACAGTGCCCACCGGAGAGCATGCAGCCACTGTTGATTCATCCAGGCACCAAGGCTGTTCCTCCTCAGGCAGGCCTGGAGGGCTGAACTTAGGGGGGCCTTGGGAAGAGAAGGCTGAGTGTTCGTACCACTTTGCACTTCCCAGGAACCAGCGGGCTCTCCCGGGGCGGGGGGGGGGGGGCTTCTCCAGGGTGCTGGAGCAGAGGACTTCGCCTTGAACACAGCCTGCCATTTCCTGAATGCCCCCATCCCTGGCCACAGGCAACTCACAAGCTGCCCCTCTGTGCTTTGCCTGGATGAACCTGCATTTGAGAAGGGGGTGGTTGAAGCCAAACTGCTGGTACTTTGAGGAGCTTCCTTTTGCCTTTCCTCCCTGAGGCACCCCTTGGTTCTGAGAAACAGCTGGTCAGTATCAACAGGTAGCCACACATCTGGGCAGATGTGGGAACCTGAGGAGACAGCAGGCCTACACCTTCGGAAACGGAATAAAGGCGCCACCTTCTCTGTTTCCCCCGCAGCTATCATACCCGACCCAGAAGGGGTGGGAAACCCTGAGGTCTGGGTGGGGACCTCTCCGGAGAAGCACTGGGAAGTGGAACAGAGAGCTCATTTCCCGGTCCTGCCTTTCCTAAGACGGGTTCTGGCTTTAGGGACAAACTCAGGAAAGATGGCCTCTCCCTAAGAGATCTCCATTTCCTGCCCTGTCATTTAGGGGAAAGTTTGGCTTTCCTTCTACTCCCATCTAAGGTGCCTACCATCTAAGCACCTGCTGCTTTCCCCAATCCTCATCACTGTTCACAATCCACGCCGTGTCTAAAATGTTTGAGGGCCACTGTAGGGCTTTCCTTTATTTAGCCTAGAAACTAGAGACGCCCCGGTAAAACACTTCAGTTTGTGCAAAAGTAGGCTTTCCTGTCCAGCTTCCCTTTAGCCAGTAGGGCAAGGAGAGGCAGGTGCACAGGAAGCCCCACTGTGTGCTCCGAAGCATGAAGTGATTGGCCCCAGGTGATCCTGTCTCCATGAGTGTTTCCCCGTCTGTGGAGGGTCTTCCCCTAATGTCCCAGCAGGGCCAGAAGCGGGGAAGGCTGAGTCCTAGATGTGATGTCTATAGGAAGAGCCACCCAGGGAGAGAAGCCAGAACCTAACTGCTTAGATCACATCTGTTCTTCATGTATGTCCTCTGAGCCGTAAGCCTGTGGACTCAAGTTCTGTGGCCTCGAGGGGTAGATGCTGCCCTGATGGCCCCAGCACCAAGCCACTTCTAGCATGCTCTCTGGGGTGAATTCAGGCCAGCTTCTGCTCCCCAGTGTCCTGACAGGGAAGTCCCACAGGGGGTTTTCCCCAGCAGCTCAGACCCCACGTGTTTGGTGGAGCGCAGCAAAAGAGCCAGGGGATCCCTTAGGGCCAAATGCAGATGTTTGGGAGGTACCAACCCAGCGTCTGATCTGAGCATGCCCACAAGCCAGAGAACATCCTCAGAGGCTTCAGTTGACCATGATGGCCAGGCTGCTGATGTGATTTCTAGGTCCATTTCAGAAGAGTGTAATTGGCTACAACCCATGACCAGAGGCATCTATAAGACCCTCAGATGTCTGAAGACCCCCAACTTCTCCCTCTGTTCCCCACATCAATTCCTTAGTATGGGAAGAATCCATTCAGTCCATCAGGTGGGGAGCAGGAATGCCAAGTTCTTTCCGGGTACTGGAATCACCAGGGTGACAAGGACACTGTGGCTGGCGCTGAGGAGCTAGGCTCTGGGAGAAGGCAGGCGTATGATGGAATCTCATTGTCCCGCAGTAGGTGTTGTGATTGGAATGCCCAGCTCAGGTGCGGCAGGAGTTACCCTCCTTGCAGGCTGGGGGCGTGTCACTTGGGAGCCGGTGACCCAAAGTGGAATCTTAGTGAGCAAGCGAGAGACTTGGAATGTGCCAAGCAAAAGCACAGGTACGTGTGGCTGCGTTCCTAAGGCTGAAGTATGAAGTTTGGAAAGGGAGGAGCCAGCCCCAAAGGTCAGGCCTGGGACATGGGCTTTGTTTTAAGGAGCCAGACAGGTTTTAAGTCAAGTCCAACTGGTATTAAAAGATAGCATTCTTCAGTGCCAGTGTGGAGGGTGAAAAGCCATGGCAGAAACAGCCGTGGTAGGGACTTCCGTGAAATGGTGTGTTCTCTGGACTCCCTCCTCAGGGCCTACCTCACTGGCTCTGAGGTCCCTGTGACAGGAAGCAGAGGTGCAGTGGCCACAGGGCTAAGGTTGAATGAGGGGCTCAGATCTTTGCAGACATCTGGAAAGAGACCCTATTCCATTTGGATGTATCTGCCATCCTCTGAGAATGGACTTGCCCAAGTTACGGTACTAACTGGGAGAGTGCAGGGCAGTCTTGGTTCCTCAGGCCAGCGTACAGGCAGCTCTGAGCAGGGAGAGGAACTGGAGCATCCTTCCATGCCTTGGTGCTGTAGAGATGGGTAACAAGCCTTTAGACTCCACGGTTTGTTCTTGAAGCCTGGTTTCTGGGCCCCACCCAGCGTCTGGATCCAAGTGGTGGTGGGGAAGGGTGTGACCCAGGAATCTGCATTGCTGGTGTGCTTCCTTGGTGAGGCAGGGTTTATGATGACCTGGGACTGGCCCCTGGACTGGACACCTCGCCCTGCTTCTCCAGGACAGATGGATCTAGGAGAGCCAGTCTAAGGCAGGATAGACCTCCTCGATGGCCTGGCCTCCCTCCTTCAGCATCTGCCTTTTGCTTTCCCATGGTGGCTCCTCTCTTCAGCACAGGTGTGCTAAAGGAGGCTGCACCGAGTGGCTTGGAAAGATACTTCAGCAGTTTCCTTCTTGTTTCAAAAGCCAGCGTTTTGTTGTTTGTTTTGAGATGGCATCTGGACAGCCTAGAAGAGACTGAAGCTATGCCACCCAGCTGTGATGAGACACCATGACCACAGCAACTCTTAAAGGAAAGCTTTTAATTCGAGAGCTCACTTACAGTTTCAGAGCGTTAGTCCATCCTCATCTTGTCTGGGAGCATGGTAGCAAGCATAGTGCAGGAGCAGCCATGATGAGAGCTTTGCATCCTGATCCCCAGGTGGGGTGGGGAATGGGGCTGGTGTGGGCTTTTGAGATCTCCAAGCCAACCCCCATGACACACTTCCTCTAACAAGGTCACGCCCACTCTAACAAGGCCACACCTCCTCTAACTAGGCCACACCTCCTAATCTCTTACAGTTAACCTATGAGTCTGAGGGCTATTCTCACTCAAACCACCATGGTGAGCAGCCCTAGTGGGAGAGGTTATGGTCTGGGCCAGGATGACCCAAAGGTACTCTATGTTCCTAGGTTGACCACTTAGAATAGCTGTCATTTAAAGCCTTGGTTTTCCATACTTCCTTCCAGAGAGAGAGGGAGGGAGGAAGCAGGAGAGATGGGAGGGAGGGAAGGAAAGAGAAAAAAGGGAGAAAAGGAGGGGGGAGATGAAGAGGAGTGTGGGGGTGGCAGAGAAAGGGGGACACACTGAGGGGAGCAGAAACAGAGGAAGGAGCCAGTGGTGGGGAGAGTGGGGCTGAGGTGGGGTAGAGACAGCCCATGATGTCACCCAAGGCTCTCTGTGCTTGTTAATCTGTCCTAACCCCAGGCTGAGGCTCGCGGCTACCATGCCAAGCCCGCGAGCTGGCCTAGCCCTGGAATATAAGTGCTTGTGGCTGACAGCCTTCCCTTTGGTTGAGGGATAAAGGCTGCTGACAAATCTGGAATATCTGAGTTTTTCCAGGGCAGGGGAAAAAAGCATGTGTGTGCACAGAAGCCAACTTTATCGCAAGCTTGGCAGTAGCGTGGGGTGGAAAAACTGCATGTTTGACATGCAGATGGAGGTGCCATGGAACTGGTTTCCCAGCCTAATGACACACTTTTCAGGAGTACCCCCTACACACACCCTTTTGTCCCCAAGGACAGAAAATTCCTTTGCGAGCACAGGCATTTGGTGTCATGTTTGGTGGCAGAACAGAACCCACTGCACACTCCTGCCAGCTCTCCTCTGAGCTCTGCTCATACACAAAATAAGCAAATAATTTTAAAGCCATACCTGAGAATGGACATAGTGCTTGTCTGGCCCCAGCCCTGGCCAGTCAGATGCATCTGAACACAGCAAATTGACTACAGTGCCCAGCACCTTGGAGGATGTACACAAAGTATCGAGTCACTGCCTGTTTCCCCCTAGCTCCGAAGGTGTTAGGGTGCCTTCCATTCTCCCTAGAGCATCAGTCCATGCTCTCTCTGGGCACAGGGTCCATGGCTTTAAAAACAAACAAACAAACAAAACAAAACAAAAAACCATGTCTTACCAGACATTGGTTGTGAGCGTAGAACTGAGCTCTTTGCACTAGACACCAGCACCTCCTATTTGCCCTGCAGAGAGAAGGGGGTCAGAAAGATCAACAAGACCCAAGGGAGGAAGGCAAGTCCCAAAGGTCACCTGGAGTTCCCATTAGGATGAGCTGACAGTGGAGGTACAGATGGAGCGATGGTTGAATGACCCTGGGATGCAGGATTTGACAGTAGGACCTGAGCAAGGGAGTCACAAGGGAGAGAAAACTAGATCAGGGTTCTAACTAATCCCACTGCACCTGTGGTCAACTCAGAGCTGCAGTCACTGCCCCCTCCCACCCCAGCAGAAAGTGCGGAGGCCAATGTGTAGATTAGAGTGGTCTGGAATCCAGATCGGGACCTCTGTCAGTACTAATCACGTGATCCTGTACCTCAGGTTTCTAATCTGAAAATTAGGAACACTGGCCATTTCACATCCTACAAGTGGCCGTCACACATCCGTTAGCAGCGTGCGGGGTCACTCACTCCCACTGAAAATGGCAAGCAAGACCCTCTTCCTTGTGGAGCCTGCGCCTCCTATGTGGTGTGTAGCCCGAGAAGGCAGGAAGAAGGAGGCCAAGGGCATTTCCTTCAAATGTTGTAGGGTGCACACAGTTTTACCTGTCACTGCTTTGGATCCATTTTCTGTGGTCCATGGGCATATTAATCAAAATCTCATAAAATAGACACCAATGACCAGGCAATGGTGACACATGCCTTTAATACCAGCACTTGGGAAGTAAAGGCAGGTGGATCTCTGTATGTGTGTGTATGTATGTGTATGTGTGTATATATATGTGTGTGTATGTATATGTATATATATATGTATACAAACACACACATATTATATATATGTATATAATATATATATATATATATATAGTGTGTGTGTGTGTGTGTGTGTGTGTGTGTGTCTGTGTATACCAATAGGCATCTTGCTGGTAGAGCCTGTGAATGTTTGAGTTTGGGACGAAAGTTTTGGGGTCATTGTGTCTGCTGTTCCCTTAGCCTGGAACATTGTTGTTCATAGACACAGGCTTTTCTCTAGTAAGATTTAAGTGAATCTAGGAAAGGTCTTTCCTGCCTAACCCAAGGTTCTCAACCTGTGGGTATCAACCCCCAAAGACTATTGGAAAACACAAATGTTTACATTACAATTCATAACAATGGCAAAATAACAGCTATGAAACAAAAATATTTTTTTTTTGTTTTTTGTTTGTTAAGACAGGGTTTCTCTGTGTAGCCCTAGCTGTCTTGGAACTTGCTCTGTAGACCAAGCTGGCCTTGAGTTTAGAATTCAGAGATCCACCTGCCTCTGACTCCCTAGTGCTGGGATTAAAGATGTCTGTTGCCACCACCAGACACAATGAAAATAATTTTATGGTTTGGCAAACCTCCTCACCATCTGTCTCCTAAAAACGCTGTGTTTGTTTTCAAAGCAGTAAAGACCTGATGCACATATTACACCTATGTGGGTTTGTTGTGTGTCTCTTCCACTAAAGGCAAGCTTGGTGAATATGTGTCTCTCACTGTCAGACTGTGGGTGCCTGGATGAACACAGTGGAGCTTAGAGGAATGCTGGTTGAAGAAACCGATTACTGCTCTATGTCCTGGAGGACTGCAGTGGGTATTAGTGACAAATGCGAGATGCCCCCAGCTCCTCTCCACCTCTGAGCCCCATAGTGAGCTTGCACTACTGGTTCTCCTAGTATAGGGTGGTCTATGACTTGTGAATGGTAGTGACCAGGACTTTAAAATGTCAGTGAAGATCATCAAGGCTTTCTTGATTTCCTTCTGGCACAGTGACTGGCCATATCAGATATGGTTTCTGGGATCTGCACTGTGTCCCTGACATCCTGCACAGAACATGCAGTCTGAGTGAGAAAGGAGTCTCTATGGTTTAAATGTGGTGAAATATGGGGCTTATTTGTTACTGCAACATAATTTAACTTGTCCTGACTGACAGTAATCCTATGTACAACTGTCAAGGCTGGATAAAGCCATTGTCCCCTTCAGAAAACCAGGCCATGTCTGCCCTTCCCCCTTTCTTTCCTGCTGGGGATGGGGGCGGGTTGAGAGATCGTCTTGAAATAACTCACTTAATAGGGGAAACAGCATGTTTTGGGACCAACTCCAAAGTGGCCCCACATACTGACCACACTCAAATTTGCCACAATCCTCCCCCTTGGTCAAAAATGAAAAGCAGCATGTTCTCTCTGTTAGAATGAGTCACAGCTGGGAAAAGTGACCAACTCCAAGCCAAGACAATCTGCTAAGGAGAAAAACTTCCCATTAGATGCTCCAGCAGACATGGTGAAACATTGCAGCATGGCGGCCAAGGACAGTATAAAAAAATCCTTCTGCCCAGGCACCCAACACCCTAGGTGATGTCCCTCCATTGGGACTAGAGGGTGTTTTGTCTTCACTTCTTCCCTGGAGGAGCAGGAGGAGGAGAAGGGAGGGAAAGGGAGAGGGAAAAGGAGAGGAGGAGGGAGAGGGAGGGGGAGTGTGTGTAAGGAGAGGTTCTTTTAGGGCAGGAGGGGACTGGTTGGGAAAGGCTGAGGAGGTGACTCCCACACCTACTGGGGTTGGGGGACAGCCACCACCCTACCCTGACCTCAATGTTTTCTCTCAGGGAGATGAATCGTAAGATAAACTTGATAAAGTTTTGGGTGGGTCACATGAAGTTACACTATCTCCACTTCATTTGGCTCCATACCATTTTCCCATCAGCTCTGAAAGCAGTCATCACTACTCCACCAAATCAGAGCCACAGGAAAACAAAACCAGAGTACTTTCTGTGTAGCCCAACAGCTGGAAGGCTGCACACCTGACAGCCCCAGCTGGAAGGCTGCACATCTTACTGTCTGCCCCAGCTGGAAGGCTGCACGCCTGACTGTCCCAGCTGGAAGGCTGCACGCCTGACTGTCCCAGCTCAGAAGGCTTCACACCTGACTGTCCCAGCTTGAAGGCTGCACACCTGACTGTCCCAGCTGGAAGGTTTCACACCTGACTGTCCCAGCTGGAAGGCTGCACACCTGACTGTCCCAGCTGGAAGGCTGCACACCTGACTGTCCCAGCTCAGAAGGCTGCACACCTGACTGTCCCAGCTGGAAGGCTGCACACCTGACTGTCCCAGCTGGAAGGCTGCACACCTGACTGTCCCAGCTCAGAAGGCCGCACACCTGACTGTCCCAGCCAGCCTCAGTCATTCACAGGCAACCCTGATGCCCATCGCCAGGAATTTTCCCAGCCAGGGAATCAAGGTCAACCCTAAAAGGCACTTGGAGGGCCTGGTCACTTGCAATTATTCATAAAGTATTTCAAAACTGGCCTTCTAATGCTGCATGTGTTACCAGAGTCCTGTTACTTACACACCAAACTGTCACCCCGAACTCAAGATGGGCCTCTGTCCTGGATCTCACCCAGAACGTGGCACCCCTGAAAGGGACAAGCTTCAAACCTGTGGAGAAGGATGGATGACGCGGAGTGGAAACAAGCCAATATTCACATGCAGTGCGGGTCCTCCAAGACCCCTGAGAGGTGCCTGCAGAAGTGCTGGAGGGGAGAAATAAGAGACCATAAAGGCAGGGCGAACTCCCCTTTCATGCAAAGAGAGTGTCAAGGAATACCCCTGCTGGGTTCTCTCAGTCACAACTGAGATCCTGGGGTATGGGACAGAATAATCCTCTTCCTCGCTGCTGCCAAGGCCCTGGAGCAGCAGTTCTGAGGGGATCATCAGGATAAGCACTATGCAGAAGTTGCTAGAAACAAAGGTCTTCTAGCCCACTATCAACACAGGAACTCAGGTGCAGCCAGCAAACTCTGATTTAACGAGCCCTCTGGGGTTGGCTGGCCTCCAAAGTTTGAAGCACCGATGTGGAGAGAGTAAGAGGAAGGGTGGAGGAGTGGAGTAGGTTAGGGGCTACTGTGTCCCACTTTCCCCATCATCGCTGTCCCCACTTTGTAGTACTCCAATCTTTCCACTGTACTCAATTTCCACTGTACTCAATTCTTTCCACTGCCCAGGAACCAGCGTCCTCCGCTACCAACTCGGAAGGGAGAGGACTCTGATTACTACCTCGGAGTCGCGGGTGGGGGTGGGGGCGTGTGGAGCAAGGAAGGCTGGGAATTCCCTGGCCACTGGACTTTTAGGAATTGCCTGAAAATTACTTTCAAGGGGAAAAGCGAAAGTGAGGATTTCCCAACCAGACACTAGGGGGAGGCCCATCTCTGGCCGGGAAAGAACCCTGAGGATTAAGGTGTAGAAGAATTTAGAGACAATTCCAGGTCTGGATTGAGAATCCCCACCCACTCAATACACATACCATTGCCTCCAACCTGAGGATGCTCATCTCTTATAAAGTAGCTTAATGTGCACAGAGAACCTATGCATTTTTAGCCATGCCTGTATTTCTATGACACCCGGTACCGACTAAGTGTATGTGAATCATTGCTATTCAGTATTGTCTAATGAATAATAAGAAAAAGTGTGTATGTGTTCGGTAAGACACTTCTTTCCCCCGAATATTTCTTTCTATCAGTAGTTTGTTGAAACTCAGAAGGTAGATTTTTTTGGGGATCTGGTGTGTTGATTCTATTCCCAAAGTTTTTTGCTGGTGACTGCCGCTAAATTAATCAAATAATACCTGATTTAAGGAGAAAAGTGTGAGCCTTAAGTCAGAACCATCCGCACTGGAAAAATCAATGGCTCCTGCAGCTACAAAAACAGACCGCAGAGGGCCCAGGACCGCTGCTAGCCTATGGCAGGACACAGACTCAAAAACCCAAGAGGCCTACAGCCCCACTTGCTCTCTCTCCATTGAGATGGGACTGTGGACAGACCTGTTAGTCATCACCACTACTTAATTTTCAAGACCCAATACGCTTGGTCGTTTGTTCAAGAATTAGGACTTTCAAGATGGTGGCGGCAGCACCTTAAACCAGACAGGAGCTTATGGCGCAGTCCTCGGTGCTGGTGGGAAGCGGACTTCTCCACCCCACTCCCCAACCCCCACTCAGGTGAACCTTCCATACCAGGAGTAAAGCAGATGTTTAGGGGGTTGGCGAGTCCGCAGCGATTACACCAGCAGCCAAGGAGAGATTTAATTCGGGAGGAAAGCTCCTGCCCTCCCATGGGGCCCAGAGAGTTCTCACGATCACTCATCACCAAGGATCATCCAGGATCACCAATCACCATAACACCAGTCTTCCAGGAGGGTGGCAGCCTACGTCGCTGGGGTGCGAAGGAAGAGGCAATCTTCTTCCCACCTCCAGCTCAGAGCGTCCGCGGCGCGTCTTACTGACCCACTGCGGGGCTCCGGGGGCGGCTGATAGCCGTGGACTAGCTCCGGCCCCCAGGCCCTACCAGGGTTTCAAAGCTCTCCCCTCCCACCTGCTCCCGACCCTGCCAGGGTTTGGGCGTGGAAGACGCTGGAGGGGACCAGGCAGAGTTAGAGGCGGGGACCCAGAAACCGGCGCCCCCCTCCCTCCGCGCGCCTCGCAAAGCTTCTCGGATGCTCCGATCTCCACTGCCCAGGTCGCGGAGTCGCCCCCAAATCCACGCGGCTCGGGCCCGCAGTCACGCGTGTTGCCCTTCCGGCCTCTCCGAGGGCCCCGCCCCGCCCCGCCCGCTGGTTGCGGGCCCTTTAAAGGCGCGCGCGCCCGGAGCCGCCCCTTCTGTCGGCCAAGCTCCGG